CTATTTCTGCTAAATTTCTTGCAGAAAGTCGATGTTATTTCTGCCGAATTTCTTGCAGAAAGTCGATATTATTTCTGCTAAATTTCTTGCAAAAAGTTGATTTCATTTCTACTTTTATGTGTCGTCACCCTCTCTTAAGTGGCATATACCCACGTATGCATATGGCTTATTCTCCTCCCCCTTATCTTATTCATTGTTTTCATTCCATCAGTCGTGCGCTTTAATACGTAGTAGTATTCGGTAGTGGGGAGTAGAGAAAAGACGAAGAGAGGCAAATAACAATATAAAAAATCGTGCACAAGTCGCCGTTTGTTGATATTTCATCAAAAAATAGTAGTTTTATGTCCATTGCTTCATATATATTATAATTTGTGTTTGCCGTGTTCAAGTATGTTGTTCTGAAATGGCTTCTAAACCTATGTATCCAACTAGTAAAGAGGTTTCTTGTCCAGTATGTGCAAAAACGATGTTGCTTAAAAACTGGAAAGATCATTGTCGTGCAAAACACTCTATGTTAATGTCAGATGAAAAAATTAATAATCAATACGAAAAACTCAAATCAAACATTTCATCTACTTCATCAAAGGCAACACCAGCTACATCACCAGGTGTAGTTACAAAAAATATATTTTCAATGAAAAACTTTGTTGTTACCAAACAAACATCCCCTCAGACCAGCAACACTAGTTATATTCAATCTTCCGGGGATACACAATCTGTGGATAGTGATCAATCCAGTTTTGCTAATACATCATTAAATATTGAAGCATCACTATTAACTATTGATGCTGAAAAAATGGAAACGGGCGGAGGTATGAAAAACGAGTTCTTATCACATTTTTCAGGCGTCTTTGGTAACTTTTATCCTTTGCAGCCATTCATGAACCAAAGAGTCCTGATATCTGTCTATTTGCACCAACAACTACAAATGACTTGCAAGAGATAGATGATTGCGTGGTACTTTCTCGTAAGTTGAGTTGAGAATCACCACTTCTTAGCTTTTTATTTTCGTCTCGCTGATGTTTTTCCTTCAGAACACATGTCAGACCAATCACACGATGACACTTCTTCGGATACAACAAGTAGCGAAAGCGATGATACACAGGATAGCGATTGTAATATTAATAATGCTGATGGTAATATTACTGCACAACACAAATACATCGATAATAATCACCCACCAATAATAGCAAAATCTATAGTCGGTGTTCGTTTTATTAACAGTCAAGAATTATCTTTTGTTGATAAACAACGTGCTCAATATCCGAATATCAAATGGTATCCAGAACAACACTCCAAAGAACAACAGCATAAATCGATTCATAAACCAAGTCAACAATGGTTTTCTGATCATCGTCCTTGGTTAAGAGCAGTTTGTACAGATAACAAATATGGACTGTTATGTACAGATTGTAGTGAATTCGCTTCAGATCAAGCGAAAATCGGAAGAAGTGGTGGTGCATTTATTGCTAGACCTTATTGGAAACTGAAACATAAAGGCATTGAAGGTAATAACTCACCATTACTGTAATGTTTCTTCTCATGACGAAATTTATGTCTTTTTGCTCATCAGGTATTCGGGAACATGAACAAAGTGATTTGCATCGACAATCAAGAGAACGGCGTATTATTGCAAGAAATATTCGTGATAAGGGAGATGTTATTGGTCAAATGAATTGTGTAAACATGCAAAAACAAACGGAGAAATATTTATCAATATTACTACAAGCATTTTGGTACATTTTAACAGAAGAAATGGCTCTCATGAAATTTAAATCTTTAATACAATTCTTACAACGAGTTGAATGTCCAGGGATTATTGAATGGATGAAGTTGTCAAACGCCAAACAAAGGTACAGCACCGAACTTTCTCTCAGTAGAACAAAATACTGTTAATAAGTTGCGTTTTAGATATTGGGGCCATGAAGCTATTTCAGAATGGCTTTTGTCGATAAATAGTTACATACATCAACAACAAATGCAATCTATTAGAAAATCAAATTACATAAATCTAATTGTAGACGAAACACAAGACATTTCAATACAAAAAATGGTATCAATTTGTTTGCGATATGTTGAACAAGACACGGGTACAATTAAAGAACAAATATTTAGAATGGATTCAATATTTGATACTACTGGTGAAGGTAAAATACGAGAATGCATCAATATGGAGACGAAAAAAAGCATTTTTTTTCTTTTCTTATAGGTTTTTTTCGTATAATTGAATCATTTGTTGATCAACTAGAAAAGGATGCTCACAAACAGTTTATTATCACTGGTCAAACATATGATGGGGTATCATCAATGAGATTTCAGACGACCGGTCATGTTCAAGCACGCTTATCCGCCTGGGCAACCTATGTGTATTGTCGTAGTCATTTGTTGAATTTGGCAGTCAAGGAAGCAATCGAGGATAATTGCTATGATTCTTTCGATACATTGAAAGCTAGCTTAGGATTCGTTTGGCTGTTACGTCGTCACATAGAGGGAAGAGAGTAACAGAATGATGATGCGGTGGAATATTGTGAATGTAATATTCGAGCAACCCCTTAGGATTCATCCGAGACAGCCCACAGAGACTGAAAATATTATTGAATAGTCAAAAAATTAATGGAACTAGCAAAAGAGGTATAAATCTCCAGAGTTTTACAAAGAAACAAAAAATTAGTACTTCTTTTCTTCATTCGCAGGGCATACAATACCCAAACCAAGTAAAACGCGATGGACTTATAATTATGAAATAGTTCGATTTGGTGTTAAACATTATTTACCGATCGTTCAAACTCTGGCCACCATTTCTCAATTGAAAATAGATGGAGCGTCTGATGGAAAAAGATATGCTATTGATTTGTTACAATATCGCACGGCTTTTGAAATAATCCTATTACAAAATATTTTACAACCGGCCATGAAGTTTCTTCGACAAATAGAAACAAGAGCTTCGTGCATGGACAATTTTACAATGCACGTAGATGCAGCCGTAGCTACAATCAGTCGAGCTGTGGAAGAGTTTGATTTCATTTCATTACGAACGTTAATGAATAATGTACAACAATATATGCCAACAATACCTTCTACAACTCACTCGACAAGATCTCGAGCACCAGCACAAGTAGTACTCATTCAACAAGATTTTGATGAAGATGAGTTACGCGAAAATGGACAACAAATAGTGGCAAGTGTTTTACAATCATTAAACACGAAATTTGACCGTGAAGCTAAAGAATTGATTAAAAATGTCTCCATTTTATCAACACCATCGAAGATGACTGCTGATGAATTATTACACAATGAATTGATACAGAAATATACAAATGAGATCACATACAAACACATTAGTGTCGATAATAAAGTATATACAAGAACAGATTCACCACTGCTAGACTTCTACAAGTTAAAAACAGATGTTCATTCATTTCTAACATTAACAAAAGATAAGACCACAATTACATCAGTATTAACACATTTAGCCAAATATGGGCAAGAACAAGCACCAGAATGGTATAGATTGTATCAAGTGTTAGCTACCTTTGCTGTTGGATCAAATGAAGCTGAACGTTCATTTTCCGCACTTAGAAGAATTAAATCGTGGCAACGTAACCGTATAAGCAGCTCAACAGCTGAAATATGTATAAAAGTGGCAACTTTGGCTCCAACTTTGACAGAAGAAGCCATCGAATATATCATTCATGACTTCATTAGTCATCCAGGTCGAGCAAAAACCAGGAATGTCAAAATATTCATGGAAGATGACGATGAAGCGCAACAAGAAAACAGTGAAGAAGACTAATTATTAAAACATCTATGCTTTTTTGCTTCGAAAAAATTTTATATGAAAAAACTTTTTTATCGAATAAGTTATGATTACTAGTCTCTATCGCTAACGAAGAACTTTTGATTTTTAGTAGGCTCAAGCCTTTTCGCAAAAAACTCGACTTTGCGAAAAAATTATAGACTTTCTGCCAAACT